TATCTTCTAAAGATCCCATTATTTCTCACCTTTTTAATGTTATCTTCTTAAGTTTTCCTCTAGTTTTTACTGTTTTACAGCCAATTCCTGAATTATTGCATTTTTATTATGAAGGAAGGGATATTTATGTTTAATTTGTTAAGTTCTCTTCCCTGGTTTTGGATTGAAGTTTCTGATTAGCCCCTGGATTTTGCAGAGATGATTTAATTATTAAACTATTTGTAAACTTTTAAAATTTTAACTATATTTAATTTTTTGTCCCTCTAAAAGATTGAAAGGAATCTTAGAACGTGGAAAAGAAGAGTTGGCTGAAGCTGAAATTATAAAAGATTCCCCTGATTCCCCAGAACCTCCAAACAAAAAGCCCCTTGTTGAAATGGATGAAACTCCACAAGTGGAAAAATCAAAAGGTAAGTTATAACTTAAGGTAAGGTAAGGTAACTATGTAAATTTTTTTCTAATTAAATTTAATTTGGTATAGTGTTATTTAATTTTGTTGTATCTTTGGGGAAGAGCTCCTAAGTATTGCTGGATTTTGTTTAGGAGATTCTCTGTTTATAGCCTTGGAAGATATAGGTAGTAAATATATTTGTCAGTGGTAAAAAAATAAAAGTCATGTTTTATCTCCATTAATGTGAAGCCTTTGGAAAGTTAGCAGTTTTACTATAAAGTTTATGCTATAAGAAATTCTAAATATGTAAATTTGAATCTGGTTATGTTCCTGATACTATCCTAAGTACTAGGTTACTGAAGACAGATTCCACTTCTGCTAGTCTCTAAACTGTCTTACTTATAGGCTGAGAAGTTTAGTTTCCTCATGTGTTTATTAAAGATATGATTCAGAATTGAGAGTTCCTGAAATCATTCGAGGTCCTAGTGATCTTGAGGGTAAACTAGGTTTAGGTTTAGTCCTTTTAGGATTCATGGAAAATGGTATGCCATCATCAAACTGATGTTTTGCTACTGTGCCTCTTCTAAGGCCATAAAGATTTCAGGGCTGGCCATATTACCATTACTGGCAGTTCAACCTAGGGAGAAGTTGAGCTTGTTTGCTTTTATATATTTTTGTCATAGTACACATATTATGTGTTACATTTTTTTGGT